AAGAGCTGATTTCAAATAATTTTAGTATTAGTGTAAGCTTTGACATTTTAATTAAAACATTCAACCACTTTTTGAGCATTATATATGAAAAAGCTATTTAAAAAAATTAAAAATTAAACCTATCAATAAAGATTTTCAATCATTAGAAAAAAAGACTTTTGAATAAGAATTTATCATTTGATAAATTTTGTTCATTCAACTTCTCAGAGCATACATTGTACTTTTGCAAAGAGTTTAAAGGTGCAGATAAATTTGAAGGTTTATAAATACTTTTTGTATTATTATATAAAATCGAGGATAAATCTTAGAAAATTAATCTGAAGAACTGTCCACACCAAGATATACACAATGTTTTTGTCTCTTCAATCTTTCTTTTGGCTGCTCATTTTGACTGTCTTTGTATCCAGAGTATATTCTATCTTTCTTGCCCTTAGCTCCATAAAATAAGATTATATACAAGATTTTTTTAATTTAAATCAGTTGATTTAAATTTATGTAAATCAGTTGATATAAATTGATTTAAATCATAATTTTTATCGGACGATTGAAAATCATGATTTTATTTGAGTTTTTTTGATATTAGTTATTTTAATGATTGTTTATTGGTTTATTCTGAAGTTTAAGTTATTCTCATAATTCAATCAATTTTTATAGACAAGTCTATGGTTTTATAATAAAACGTCTGGCAGTGTAATAAAACGTCTGGCAGTAAATCTCTACATAAGTAGAATTTAGATTCTAGTAACATCACTTTTGTACACATTTTTGTGTTAATTTATTAATAGATAGGGTTTTGCAATCAAGCACAGAAAAAATAAACAAAAATAAAAAACTTAAGATTGAAAACTTTAGCCTCTAACAACTGCAATGTTACTGCAGTAGAAAAAGTTATAAATTACATATAAAGTTTTATATCTAATGAAACTAGTGATGTACACTTTGCAGGTGTTTCTAATATCTTTATGAATTAAAAATTTAGCTAATATAATTAAATTAACAAAAAAATGCTTTTTTTTCAATACTTACTACTGTATAACATTTCAAACGTTTGATTTATTTAATAAAGAAAGCATGTTAAATGCCACACAGTAAAAAGTTTTTAGGTTTAAAAGCTTCTGTATACTTCGTCCGATGGTCAGTTATAGATACAAAGTTATACCATATTGTGAGATTTTGCACAAAAATAGTTTGAT